GAAACCTAGATGCACAGAGATAAAATACTTCATATGTCCGGCATAAACGCTTGAAAATTTTTTTTTTAGATTCCATTAAAATTATATAACTCGTCGACTGCAAAATGCCTGTCACGGTATAACATCGGTTTTTTCCCGAGATACACTTATGTCCATACTGTTTCGGCGGAAATAATAAATGGCTAGCACACTGACTGCCGACATGAAAATGCGTTTTTTGCAGTATTTGCAGTTCCCCCACAGGTTTTTGTAGCTAACGGCACTGTTTTTCCTTGCAGATGCTTTTACTAAAAGGACTAAGACTAGTCGCTACAAACGTCAGAAATTATTATAGTGACTCACAATCTGTGTTCATGAAATTCAACACTTCGGGTGCTTCGGTTAAGGAATTTCACGTGCCCGTAAGTGAATGGAGCGTGAATGTTGTTCTCACGTTTTTCTGTCCAAATACGGTCCTGAGCCAAGCTCGAAAGATTTCAGCACCCCAGCTGCTTTGATTGCTGGGTAACGTCAAATCTAATGCACCCGTACTTAACGGGAGATGTGGATGCTGTTTTCACATGCGTCTACTCGAACATGATCTTTAGCCACGCGCGGAAAATCCCCGCACTTCAGCAGCCCTGCCTGCAGAATTTCGTCAAATCTCACGTGTTCTAAAATAAGCGAGCGACAAGCAGTCACTGCAAAATTACAGCTCTCTACAGATCCTTGGTCCACTCAAATCAAAATTTGGCACAATGCCAATTTAAACTTTGACGTGCATGTATGTAAGATTCAGGATGTATGAAGGCTGAATTTAAAATCTTTGGACTGGACGTAGCCAATGAACAATTTCGTAAAGTTTCAGCCTCCTAGACTGCGCGATTCCTGAAATCGCTTTCGACGAAAAAACTTCCACTTGCCTGTACGCGAGAATCATGTGGACGTAAGCATCCATTTTGAGAATATGGCCGCGTATGCAGGTACAGATTAAGTTGCCAAAATTTCAGAAATGTAGCTTTCGTAGGTCTCGGGGTAAAAAACCGGCAGAGACGTAAAAACAGATACAGACACACATACACGCACAAACATATGGACAACTCCCCGACAATATGCATTTTTGTATTGCACAGATGCAAAAAAAAAAGCATAAAAACTGTTACATTCTTGCTAGACGGAACATCTCAAAAATAAACATTACCGAAAGAAGAACACTGTGCAAGCAAAAGCAATTCATAAAACGCACCGTGTCTTCGTGCCCGCGCGAAAACACTGTAACCGATCTGCTGTACGTGTATTTGAAATCCGTCACAAACGTCTTCGCCGACTTCCCCATGCCAACTACAACCTAAAATTCATTGGTGCAAATAGTTATTAAGCATGCTAAAAAGTAAGTAGTCTGCGGGAACACGCAATCCTTAGAGAAACCAACATTTCTGCAATAAACGGACTTACGCTTGATTTCCGCTGCTTTACTTTTTGCTTTATTCGCTGCTTACGTGCGTTTTCACGTTGCTGTCGTGCCAAATTTTTTAGCTGTATCTTATGCGCTTCCTCTCTGGTCAGTTTCATCGAACGTGGCTCGCATTCCTCACATTTATAAATGTCTGGCACATTTTTTTTACCAATACCAACACAAACACCATGCTGCCAAACTCTGAAATATAAAGCATGCTGCAAAACTAGCTCAAC